GGGTAAGCCACATGTTTCTACCTTTCCGTTACCTTTTACTTTACTCGTGTCACTATAGTCTACATTTACCCTTTACTTCTACCTTAGGGTAATTACCGGGTTACCCTATACGGATTCTAAAAGATTCAAAAGTTACTTTTACATCAGGGTTACCGGGTAGTTACCCTATTACCTCTACCCTAAAGGGTAAAAGATCAAGATTACCCGGTAATTACCCTATTACCTCTACCCTAAAGGGTAAAAGATCAAGATTACCCGGTAATTACCCTATTACCTCTACCCTAAAGGGTAAAAGATCAGGACTACCCGGTAATTACCCTATTACCTCTACCCTAAAGGGTAAAAGTTAAAGGTAATTTAACTTTTTAGTACCGTTTACTTGGATCGTTTCAGTAGAATGTGCAGAATTGTATTTTGAATAATTTTGAGAATGTACACATTTTTGTTTTTTGCGGTTAAGAAGGTTACCCGGTAATTACAGGGTAACCCATATGGCTCTACCTTTACCTTACCTTTACCCTACCCTATAGCCAAACCTCTACCTTTACCATTTACAATGCGTTTACCCTTACCTTTTACACTTTTACCTGGTAACACTTAAATGTTACGTTAACTTGCCGAGGCCTAATTCGGGAGAAAAGATTTATATAGGGAACATGATGTAATGATCTCTTAGATGCAGACAATCTCCCTCGCTTGGACGCTGCCCAAAGTGTCATCTTATCCACTTGTGCTGCACAATGTCATCAAATCTCACACAGCGGTCTTAGCCCAGGGCTTGCCTTGGCAAAGCCAGATGACATCCAATGGAACTCGACTATATCCATGAAAACTTCATTAGGGATTACTTATTTTCAGAAAGTGAAAAATATTGTTGAAAGTACTTTCCGACTCGCAATGAATAACCACACGATTAAGTTCAAGTCCATGCACCAACGAACTCCTCTATCCCAGAGAAGTATGGGCACTTTAGACCATGAGTGATGAAATAAGAAGGAAGAATATTGATGGTCCACATTGGTCAACATATTCCGGCAACACGAGGTCAAATACTATCTCTACTTTCCTCTGGTGTAACAACGCCAAAAAACGAGGTACCCTAAAATGGTAGAGAATACTGGTACCAAAGTGTGCGACCCAGCGTTTTTGAAAATAAGGGCATACCTGAACCAGCTCTGCTCGAAAGGTTCTTGGTTAGTTAATCAATCAACGAGATGATATCAGAATGTTAAACATGACATGACCCTATTCCTCCTACAGCCACGCTTTAGTTCGCGGTTTTGTGTCTCCTGTCTAAGTTTCCTATGCACGAACTGATCCACCCGGAGGGAGAAGTGGCAGAGGAATACATCCCAGATCCGAAAGTCACTGTGGTAGAGCCCAGCGTGCGCCATTTTGGTGTAACAAATGCCATAAGGAAAGCAAGGATCACAACAGCAATAAAAACTCGCCCAACAAGCAGGGCACATTCATCAAAGCACAGGTTTTGGTAAGTGGAACCGTGGGTGAAATTATCTTTATCCGGTGTGTTGAAACCAACTTGCTTTTACAGAAAAGCAACTCAAAGGTTCATCCCTCCCCTTTCGCGACAAACTGACAAAGGGATGAACCTTGTCGTTATTTAATATTGTAGACGTGAATATATTGTTCCTTTCCGTAGGACTTTTCCTGCGGGGAAAAATCGTGATCCTCCTTCATACGGTTAACGTCCTTCCACTAGATACTTGCCGTAAGTAAGTCAGTGGTCGCTGGTCACAGTCGAGTGTGATGTCATGATATTTCATCGTGAGTCCGATGCGTGCACCGATCTTTGTTGGCACATCTCCGTGTAAGAAAGCACGTGGGATATGAAGTCCATCGCATCGTATAGCCAAACGCTCGGGGTTGTTGTAAAGGTTGTCCGAGAGTCTGACCACTTGGTTGCCTACACATATTTTGTGTCTATCCAGTTTATGAACATTGGTGGCCTGTTCATACTCATAGTTCTTTGTGTGATATTGTACTCGCACTCTTCCCAAGTTTTAAAGACTGTTGCCTGAGAGGTTCACTAGTAGTATCACCGTCAAGAGAATCATTCCTCGTTATGATCGAAATTACTATTTTGTATGTTTCGAATCAAAACTTGGAGTGATTTAGATCCCAATCTCAATTTTTGAAGAATGTTGCGTAGGAGTCTTACACTTAATCTTATCAGCAAGAGTGATTCCAAGTTATGATCGACATTATCGTTTGGTGGTTTTCACATCAATATTTCAAAGATGTCGTCACTCTGAATGGCTGGATGTCAGAGTACAACTTCGAGAAGTCTGTACACCTAAAATCCACAAGGTTTGACAACCGAAAGTTTATCAAAAAACTATGAAGCGATCCATAGAAATCCCGTCACGAGCTCGGTTAGCAGTGTCGTTTTCACCCTGGGTGCTTGACTGGTTACTATTCCATCCTCTTCAATGACAAATGTGTCACTTATGAAATTCCTGTACATAAGAAGAAATCCTAGCGGGGGGACCTGGTAGATGACAAGGAAGCGTCCTTTTGAGTGCGAGTACTCCTTGTATTCTAACCCTGGCAAGTGGTATTACATATCTAGATAAAAATTTCCGATTGAAATTGAAAAACTATGTGAAATATGGAGTTGTAACACATCACGATGGTTCAATAAGATTTTTGTTTGCAACAAAGAGGAGACTAGAGTTAGGTAGCTGCACCATGGTACCAATACATCTTTAGGTTGATGATTTGATACATAATGTGTCTGACAGTAGTCTCTTGTGGTTTTTGTCACTCATTTCTGCCATAACTACTCATCATGAAAAGCTACTCTTTAAATCTGTAAAAAAAATTTATAGCTTACATAATTTTGAATAAAATAAAATTACTCACGTTGTATATTAGTTTACATCATATCATCCATGAACAATTATGAAATTGACATACTAGGAAGTTGACAAGAAGAAGCATCACCCGTATACTTTGCAGATAGCATATTGATTTCGGAGTAACAATGACAGTAAGCTTTGGTTGAGCTCTATGCAATTTTTTATCATTTCTTTTTAGATTATGAGATGTTGCAATTTTTCAGTCAAATGTATACTACAAAAGAAATATCTCTGGACGAATAACACAAAGGATGTTATTTTTAAAATGTGTTTAACAACACACCAATAGAGTAATCATTACACGAACGCAAATTTGTTGTCTCCCTCTGAAGTAAAAAATGGCTTCAACATAAAGATCATGCAATATCTTTAGGCATGACTGATGTTGTCCCATTATAAGCAGCATTCTGCATATGCTTATTTGGTTAAAAGCTTTTTATTTCCATTCATTATCTTAATATTGATGATTATTTATGTAATCCATAAGCTCGGTTAATTTCACAAACCAAGCTTTCGGATTGGTTGTATTTTTTAACCCTGATAAATATAGTGGTAAATAAAATAGCAAATGAAAAACTTCACCCCAATATAATTCTAACTATGTATTTGTTTCCAATTCTCGCCTTAGAACTTTCACCTGATATTTGTCTTCTACAAAAAAGTTTGGCTTCCACTCCAACTCAACGTTTGTATTTATTCTAGGTTTAGAATTCTTGTATTACTATATTCTGAATTTATTCCAATGTGATTTCTTTATATGAGACAAATTCAAAGATGTATTGTGTAAAAAAATTTACTTTGATGCAAAAACACTTCACAATAATATACTCAAACATATTTCATTTAAAATGCATAAATACAAAACATATTATCAAAATTTATCTTCTATCAATTTTATTTCATCTTCTTCTTTATAAAATATCTAACAAACTTATATTATTGTGATCATTTGAAACCATATTTATGACTAGAATTGAATATCCAAATAATCTAAAATAAATTTGGCAACTCATTATATTATGTAGAGTTGTATATATATTAGATCTTTTTTTTTTAATGATAGATTATTTTAACATCAAAGTTCAAATTAATAATTGTAAGATTTTATAACATGAATATTGACTTTGAACTTGTGACAAGTTATATTTTGTCTACAAAATATAACTTATTACTTGTATTTTATTTTGTTTAAATATTGTTTAAATTTTAATATTCAAATTTTTCTAGTATTCTTTAACTAATCTCACTCCACTGATGAATCATCAACAGAATCTTTTCCGAGTAGCATGTAAAATATATATAGTATCAAAATTTTTTAAATTTTATTGAATGATGATATTTTTAATATTGGCATTTTATCACGAATAGTATTCTTTAAATAAATAAATATTTTTTCAATAAAATGAAAAATTTTATTCATTTAGATGGTAATTTTTAATCAAAAAATCTAATTTATGTTGTATTTATATATTCAAATATATAAAAATATTCTTTCATCAAATTAATTTATATTGAAATTTATCAATTATGATCAAAGTCAAAAAGTTACATGAGATAAAAATACTAATAATTTTTCTCAGTCACAAAGGATATGATTCGGTATATTAATATATGCATCCTAAATGGAAAATTTTACATGTTATTACTCAAATAAGCTTTTGAAATTTTTACTTTATTTTAAATTATTTTTCGATTTCTGTCATAATAAAAATATCGTTTAAATTTCGATATCTTAAAAAATGAACAGTATTTATGGAAAAGAAAATTATTCTATGTTCTGAAAAAAATCACATTCATTCTATAAACATTGATCAATTTTATTTCATAATAATAATACACAATAATATTACTATTATTAATAATATAGTGATATCTATAATGATATATCGATTATAATATCTTGATTATTTTTATTAAAATACAAAAGTTTCATATACAATAAGATTTAACTCGAATCTAGAATTACTGTTTATACTGTAATAAGTTTCTTTAGAGAGTTGTGAAAATAACTCAATGTCAATAAAGTCGTTTTATTATCAAATATTTCAGGTGTAGGAATCTTTAGTTCTCGGGCGTGTCATACGATAGGAGAGAATGAGACCCGATTCTTGTTCGAAACCGGTGCCAGGAATTCGTGCATCCGGGATTTAATCAGCTCTAACCCTTCGGAATATGAATGTGGAAAGAAGCAGCGCCAGTCTGAGCACCCGAACTGAGTTCCGATCCCATTCTTGGCGCAAGCTTTGCAACCACTTTCTTTTCCATGCGAATCTCTGGGCTTAGATCGTCGAGTCCAGGATCGCAACTCCTCGCTTCAAGTTGCGAGCTTGGGCTCGACCAGCGGAGGAGCTCGGGCATTTGTCGATATGTGAAAAAGTTACGCTTGCTTGCTCTGAAACGCCCCAGATCCTCGTGCTCACGCCTCCATAAGCACTCCTGGCCCAGCACTTGGGAATTCGGCCGACGAATGCACACAATTCTCCTGCAGACGAAGGTTTCATGCAGAGACCGTGGAATGTACTATCACCTTCGGCTCACTCACGATGAGATCTTGTGGGCAAGATGACACTTTCTGCTCTCTGACTTTCTTGCTCACACAGATTGACAATCTACGCCGAACCGGATGACCGTGGCTGAGTTTCGCATCGAGCACACGACGTCGTCGTGTCCTCTGTAGCTGCCTTACAATAGGAACCCAGCCCAGAACGAGGATGCTCTGGCCTCCGCAACAACCACGAGCCAGAACTATCTTTCTTTTATTCGAAGGAGTTGGCCAAACGCGAATTCTGGGTCTTGTCTCGTCATGCCCTGCACTGCTCCTGGCACTGACTCGGCTATCACGAGCGCCGGTCGATGAGTATGATGCCAGGTGAGAGATGTGAAGCATGTTGCGCTGGGTTCGGTTCTTGTGTCCAGAATGCTGTTAAGTTCAAGCGACACATTCCGAATTTTCGGATTTTGGATCGTAGACGTGTTTTCTTTGTGGATTCACCTTCGATCACGGTTTCTAGGCGATTATTCAGAATCACGTCTTGCCTATGAGAATTCGGACCCTTCTTTCCATTTCCTGATTTAGTAAAAGTTGGGAACTTGATTCCACCAGAGGAGAAATCCACGCGGAGATATGTCGCTCGGCCGCTACCAAGCCCAACATCCCAGAGGACTTGCGCCTCAGAGATGGGACATACCACAATTACAAGATGGTCATTCAACATACGCGAGCTTAGATATGTAAACAATCATGCGCTTGACAATCATTTGGACACGAAGACGATGTTCACCTGACGTTCCTGTACCTGATCTCCGATCGATGAGAAAGTCGATTGCGCAATTCAATGTCCCCTTCAGCTCGAAAAGACATTGAATTCAACGCAGCAGGCGACTTCCGAAACAAAAGTACTCTGTACCGATCACGAGTCGAATAAATCTGTTCCTTCAAAGCTCGTGAGCATCAAAACCGCTCTTCAAGGATTCAGATTTTAGGGTTCCCCTGCGCATAGCCTCTCTATGTAGGGAACTTTCCATATGTTCCGTGCTTCAACAAAATAAGGAAAAACACCGAATTTAGTACAAAACTCTCTTGTTACACTTTCGACAGATGTTCTTTTGATGTGAAGATCCATTTTCCATTTCAGAATTGAAAAATCGAAGGAGACTTTGGAAATGCACATGCTAATCTTTGAAATAACTCCATGAATAACTCTCATGTTTGCAATAATCCAAGTTTCACTATAATGAAATAAGATTTGTCTATGCAAAGTGGACTTTCATGTTGCATAAATATCAAAAAGTTATTTGTGTTCTTCCACTCTTTGATCAATGTAATTTTGTCGCCTAAAATTTCCACATATTTCAAAACCAGATCCCGTCTAAGAAAATAGACAAAATGTTGGAACTTGTCTAGTTGAATTTCTAACTTGCTTGGATTGCAAAGTGTTTCCAAAACATGCAGAATTTCAAGTTAATCCAACCAATCAGTTATAACAAGTTTTTCGGAGTATTGAATTTCAGGCGTTTCGGTTGAAATGGAGATCGGCTACTTACAACTTTACATGGTCGCTTTGTAGCGCATTCAGTGGAATCCATAGAACTTCAGTGAGCAATTTCTCAAAATTCTAATAAAATAACTATTAAGTGGTTATATCCGATTAGAAGTTGGGAGCAACTTCTAATCCGAAACAACTACTTTATAAGTATTTAATTACAGAAAAATTTTTGAGTAAACTAGAATGTTGAACTTTTATCATTCTCTAATTACATCATGTATATAGAGAAAAAAAACAATTATTTTTTGAAATACAGACGTAACTTTTTGAAAACCAAATAAAGAACTACATTGATGGATTTTCGTATTTAGAGAGTACAGACTATGCACAACTGACAAACAGGCGAAACTTTTTCTTACTAGAGGAGCAGAGCAGCCCAGATTTCCAATTCCAAATCCGTCTCCAGATAGTAGAGCATGTACGAGTCTCGATTACTTTGTTTGGGAATCAGTCGGCCACCACCAGGTCCGCTCCAAGGTGCCGTGTTATGCGACGGTCAAGTGCATGTCATGTTGCCTCACATCTTGTTTGACTCCTGCCTAAACTCACCCCGATACCGACCATATGAATCCGGCTTTACGGCAAGGTTTGACATGCATGGCCGAAAACCCCCTGGTCACTCCGGGATTGCGCCACAAAACTTCGGTAGCCCCGAAGTGGCTATGCCCCGAACTAGTGGCGAGTATTCTTGACTTCTCTAGGTCATCCACATGTGTCGAGAAAAAATTCCGGGGTTGTCAAAACTGTTTTAACCTCTTCAATCCGCTATTTACTTGTGAGTGACCCTGAAATTCATACAATTAAGTGACATTTACAATTAAGTGACATTTACAAAGGGTATCCCCGGTTCTACGTTAAAAAACCTCGAGGTGTAACCCCATGTTAGCAAGAGGGAGTCAAGCGGTTTCCTCTAGTTGTCCCTCTATCTCACCCCCTATCCCCGAAGTCACTTAGCTGTTCTCGGGGGATTCTCAGGGAAATGTCAAAGCGGTTTCCTCCAGTTGTCCCCCTATCTCACACCCTATCCCCGAAGTCAATTAGCTGTTCTCGGGGGAATGTCAAACCTGCTTTACGGGCGGAACCTTCATATTCACACCGTCATTGCTGTCTTTATCAACCGAACTGTACTCGGGTTGTGTGGTAATGATGCCTGCACATACACCCTCCAGGTTGCGCCATCCCTATTTTAACCATGACATCTCAAGTTTCCAAAAGATACACCCTCTAGGTTGCGCCATCCCTACTCAAACCATGACATCTCGAGTTTTCCAAGAGAACGTGTCCGTGCTGCTACTCGACGAGTAATAACTGTAGCGGAAGTGAGAGAAGCAATATTAAGCCATGAAATTGAAGGAGCAGGAACCGTTGTGTCTTTTGAACGTGATCTCCACAACTTTCAAATGCACTTCTTGTTGGTGATACCAATAGCTCACAGTACCATGTGGATTGCGGTACAGGATCAGAGTCCTATCAATAACAGTACAAGTAAACTATTATGTGCCATTAAGGAGCAATGCGGCCCACTAAGACCTTCAGTTTCGTGTATCTTAGCTAGAGATGGTAGTGGGATTAGGATTAAGTTAAAATCATTGTTTTGTATATATGACCAACGCCAAAGTTGAAACGTTATATATATTAATAGATATGATTGAACCTTGAGTCTCTAGTAGAAACTCAAGGTTCAATATTTTGATACCATGTTGAGACTCTCTACATGGTATCAAAGCAAGGTTCTCACACTCAGTTGTTAGTCTTTTTCCTCGAAGTCTAGTAAGATCAGTCAACACTTCAGAAGCAGAAACGAGTTAGTGGTTAGACAATAGAAGCAAGTCCATGAGGTGTGTAACAGTCAAACAAGTTAGAATGTCTTCTAGATATGTTCCCATGGAAGATTGCTCCAAGTTGAAAGGAAACCGTAACTACAGTGTCTGGAGTTTTAAAATGAGTAACATGCTTAGCACAGAATATACATGGAGACTTGTTGACCCACCTGCAAGTACTGTAGCACCGACGACTCGAGCTGAGATTGCGGCGTTGCAGCTACTGAAGAACAAGGCCTTGATGATGATTGCACTCTCAGTGAGAGACAAGCTCATCCCGTACATCTCCAACATCACGAAACCAGATGAGTGCGGGAGGGTTCTGAAAAACCTTTATGACAACAACACTAACTCACGCAAGTCGCTGCTATGAAAAAAGCTGACCAATCTAAAGATGTAGGAGGGTAGTTCAATTTCAAAGTTTTTGCAGAATCTGAAAGAACTGCTTAACAAGTTTGCATGCATCGGTTTGTTTGTCACCGATTCTGAGTTCGTTGAACACGTTCTAATGACGCTTTCCGAGTCTTATGAACTACTTATCAATACATTAATGTATCGACCTGCATTGCCCACCACATCAGAACTTGCGATAATCTTCATGCATGACGACATCTGTATAGAGCTCGAAGGCGGAAAACAAGTCGAAGATGAACATCTGTTCATCAAGAGCGGTAACAAAAAGCAGGGAGCCAACAACCGTCGTTCCTGTTCTCGAGGAGAGAATGCCACGTCCAAAATGAAGAAGAATGTATAGATTCCAGGTTCGATTAAGACAGATACCATTTCAACTTTGGCATTGGCCATATATACAAAAAAGTGGGTTCAATATAACCCTTAAACCACTACCATCGCTAGCTAAGATAATCGTCCTAGTGGGCAACAGTGTTAGGTATTTAACAATTTACCAGTATTGTTAATACAATACTGGTAAATTGTTACTGTTATGACTTGGATATTGTACTGGAGTACTATCAATACCAACCCCGATAAACTGTTAATTGTCATTAAGAAGCATTGTTGCGCACTAAGACGTTAAGTTGCAGGTATCTTAGCTAACTATGTTAATGGGGTTAAGGTTAGCTTGAATCCATTGTTTTGTATATATGGCCAAGGCCAAAGCTGAAATGTTATCTTTCTTAATCATTGTATCATCTTATCATAACTTTGTTAGTGGTAGTAAGAGAAGCAATACGTTGCCATGAAATTGGAGTTACATTGCGTCGCCTTCTCCTTGGAACTCCATTTGCACAACTTCCAAATGCAGTTCTGCCACTAGGCACCTGCCACATCGCATTATAATTTTGTTGGTGTTAGTACATATGAGAAGAAAATCAATAGAATGACATGCACAACTTCCAAATGCAGTTCTGCCACTAGTTACCTGCCACATCGCATTATAATTTTGTTGGTGTTAGTACATATGAGAAGAAAATCAATAGAATGACATGCACAACTTCCAAATGCAGTTCTGCCACTAGTTACCTGCCACATCGCATTATAATTTTGTTGGTGTTAGTACATATGAGAAGAAAATCAATAGAATGACATGCAATCGGAGTAGCAGTGCGCCGCCGCGTCCATATGTTACATATGATATGATAATATAAAAGTTTCAAACTCATGATATTGGAGATGTTGCTATTCGTAACATGATTATCTATTAGTTTTGAAATTGAAATTATTGACATTTAAAATCCAAATCAATGATAATTAGAAAAGATATACTTTACTATCAATAATTTTGAATTTAAAATTGCAATAGTAAAACACTAGGAAAATTATCTTACGGACATCTATAACGTCAATGATACATTGAGCATGAAAGTCTGAATAGATCATTTGTGTTTTGAAACTACAAGGTGGGCATAAGGGAATCTGGAGACTATGAAACTTATGTTTCAAGGACACGAACGGTTCACTGTTGATCGAATTGCATGGCGTCACAATTGTACCTCCTGATTCCGCTACAAGTACTACTCGTCCAACACTGACGAGTACGCGTTGCTCCTCTGCTTCTGCTGAACGTAATACTCTTCCAGCACTGGGGCAAACACATTGCTACTCATGCTTCCAGGTAGTACTAGTCTAGCGCTGGCGCGAACCCGCTCTCTTGGAAACTCGAGATAACGTGCTGCTGCGACTAGGGGTGGCACAACCTTGAGTGCATGTAGGAGCTTCCTAACCGTCCCATCTCTCATGCAACACAGATCGATATGATGAGAAAGAAGAGATAAGTCAATACTAGAACATTTGGTTTTCGCAAAAGAGAAAACAAAACATCAGACTGTTTTTGTTCGTTCCAATAATTAAACATTTCATTTCCCAATATATCTTAAGTAATTTCGATGTTCAAAACCTAATTCAATTTAAGATAATCAAGAGTTCGCACACCAATCTTGGTTCATGACAGGGTTGATGTGAACCATCCATCCTCCAGAGGATGGATGTCTTCTTCCGCTTCCCTATCAACAGATAGACATTTCAAGCATCTTAGAGTACGCAACGATAGTAATACCCTTGTCTCTTTTCACGGCAAGAATTCCACCTCCACCTACACCACATCGGCATTCTTTCGTCAGCCAAAAATCAATCGAAATACTTGCAATATAACCATCCGCAGATCCCAAGCCTTGAACCAAGAATGCGAAATCGAAATGCGTGCAATATAAGCACTCGCACATCCAAGTCTTGGACCAAGAACTCACAATCGCAAACTAATAGTCAATCTTGTGCAACAATGGAATGGCTGCTCAGGTCTGCATGTGGCCACGCGTAGCGTAGAAGATCGAGTCGAGACTGCATCGCCAGTGAACCTCGAGGCAGCGCTTTGGGTTTCCGGTTTGGCGCCCTGTATCTCTTATTCGTTCGCAGGCGAGCTTCTTGAAAGAGATTCAAATGTTTAAGTTCGATTGATTCGAAGGACGGTAACGCACGAACGGTTTACCTTTGAAATTTGAAGGTTTACCGTCAGCCCCGCGGAACAGGGTCGGGGTGGCATTAGTGGAAATTCATGTTTGGCGTCCAGCGTTCGGCCCACTCCAGAATTGTCGAGGCCAGAATTGCAGGGTTCTTCGAAAACAGGCCACGCGATAAATGTACAGAGATCGGAGCATCTACTGAAACTCGTCTCACTCAGGGGAGATGAGCCTTCCACTCCTTCAATGCTAATCCTTTGGATCCTCCGAGTTGTCGTCCCCATGACAGCCGGCCCCTCACCTACCCTGCTCTGCGGTCGACCTCCATCCTCCTGACATCACGAGCATTCAGCGATCCCTACAAGTCCTCGGATTACTCGACATGTACGAGCATGTCTTGCTTGCTCGGCGAAAAGCCCCGAGCAGACACCGTAATTCACCTCGGCCAGCTCCCGTTGCCGTCCAACCATAAGAGGCACACGGTTTTCCGGCAGCTGCAGGTCCAAATCGACGACTTCGATGATCCACATGATGCGTCTAATCTTCCTATGAAGCTTCGTCTCGATGTATTCTTAATCCGACAGCAGTGCATTCGCTCGAGCTCCGTATAAATCAATCGAACTATAATCAAAATTCCATCAGTCAGTCTGCGCAAGGGCAATTCTTTTCGTTCAAATTCATAAGCTTTCATACGCATCTCTCCGTTTCTCCCCGTGAGCTTCGCAGTAATTTCATCGAGGTCGGACCTTCTTTGTCAACAACAGAAGCATGGCACGAGCAATGACAAGCCCGACTGCAGCAGAGGTTCTCATCGCCAGATTGGCTCTGAGCCAGCACAGCACGTTCCCGAGGCGAGGGCGAGGGCCGCCGCGTGGACCTTCACTCAATCACAGTCAGCGCAGCCACTCTGGCCATTCCGAGCGACGTGGACACGAAATCGTCACCGATCGTCGCCAACAAGGCCAGCACATTCGCCACCTCGGCCTCCATCGGCTTCTCGGGCAAGGTCTGGTTCTTCCAGCTCCGCCGAGTGGTTTTTGAGCACCATCGCCGTCACCGAGCCTCTGACGGTCGATCGATGCGCAGTCAGACAAGAGTCTTCGACGAGGGCCATCCATGTTGCCATTCTCATCGCTCATCGGTGGCGTCAATTACAAAGCTCAGAGTTAATTCTAGAGATGTCTTACGCCAAGCTCGTGCAGAGTCGGGTGGCATTTGCGGATGGCGCACTGCTGCAGCTTTATGAATAGACAGTTTTATGAATATTTTCTGTGGACCGCTCTCTCGTTTGCGTGATGGTGTGCGTGGTCTATTCTGGGCTGTGATGTGAAGAGCGATGCAGTGAAAATGCATTTGTCCATCAGCAGCAGAATCCATGACATAGGATCGGAAGGCAATGATTGCAAGAAGCGAAGACTTCAAGTGTACGTGGTAGAGTCACCCAGTGCTCCAGAGCATTGCAGATCAGCCTCAAGGCTCTAGACACCATGCTATGCAGGACTTCGTGTCCAGCTCCCCGTGCTGCAACAAGAGCCTCCCTGGAATGTGGATCGATTCTCTTCCAGCTGCCTGATGCACGCACATATCATGAGTCACACGTGATTTCCAGGAACCTGAGAATCGAGGCCAGAGACAGATGAAGCTCCTGAGTCCTGATACGACGACACATTTCTCTGCAATCGTTCGGTGTTGTCCATGGGATCTAGATTTCCTTGCGGGAAACAAGACTCGAAAGCTGATCCTTTTACTCCGACGCGCTGTTCCCGGAGAAAAGGATTCCCAATCCGCGGATCCCTTTTGTTAACCAGTGAATCATCGTGATATGCCTGTGCAGCTTGCATATAGATCTGCATCACTTGGGCTGCGCGTCAAACAGGGTCACGTGAAAATTGTTGTACCCGCTTTCTGTTCGCTCAAATGCTCACTCTTTGAAGAGATGTGTTGGATTAGCTTTCTATGTTATCAAACACTGGGAATGTGATCCACAAAGCAAATGGTCCAACGTCAACTCCTATCACCTCTGGATAGGAGTCGACGTTCGACCACTTACATCTGCATGAGCTGAGCATCAGAGTGTGTTTATGTTATCATCAAAACATATCTACATACTCTTCTTCTTTAATTCAAAACTGTGCCACAGTTCTGAATTAAAGGGCCTGCAACTTGGAATCCATGAAGACCGAAAGTTCGGTGTTTAGATTCTAAGTCTTCTTGTCCTGAATAGCTGCAGCAGCAATATGTTGCTCGGATCAATCCTGGTTTGATGTGGAGCGCTCTTGCCTTACGAAAGTAGAGCAGATCTGCGGGCAGTAGCTCAAGTTCAGAAACGATTCCGAGTGCAAACTCATAATTGTTTCAGAACGTTCTGTACATCCGGAAACTCCAGGGCATCCTCCAATTCTGCCACATCTTGGGATGCATTTGCGATGAGTCAACCATCTTCCCTTCTGACGGCAGTAGAATCCAGAGGAAGAGCTAGAATGACTGCGTTGATTTCATCAAAGAGATAATTCTGGGATGCATAACACTGTCACTCAAGGTTTGTTTGATGCATGAGAACTGTCTTTCGCCCACAAAGCTTCTCATCTCATCACTCACAAATTGCTCAGGTTTAATCTTCACATCATTGTTGCATATCGTTGCAAGAAGCGGCTTCTTCTAAGTCCATCGAACTGATTACTCGAATTTGCATCATAAACTGGATTCAGATGGTTCAAAATATTTATAAACGGTTGACTAGAACCGAGGATTGAGTCTGGGTGGATAAAGTTCAAACCGACTCTTTCGGCACCTTGTGACAGTGTGTCCAACTTCCACCAGACAACTATGAAGTGTTCATTTCAATGCATCACTGGCCGGCGTATGACTATTTCTGTCTCCTCATGCGTTCCATATAATATACGCTTGCCTCTCACAAACATCACGCATCTTAAAGTTCACTTTTTTTGCTGTAGGACACATCGATTCCTGGATTCAGAATTCAAAGATTTTATGCCCGGCTTCCTGATATAAGAGGATTCCATCTTTACAGACCTTCGAAGATACATGTGGAAACTTCCATTGATGGTCGAGAGAAAAAGTTTCTAGAGTAGCTCATTGTTTGAACTCTCGAATGTCCTCTGCAAGCCTTACTCCAGTGAAAGGATTTTGTAGAACCTTTACAGAGCGTTATGAATGTTTCAGAAAGACGAAGAAAATGGTCGGACTGCATGGTCAGGTCTTCGGATTTGCTCAACGTCAAAACGCTCGAAGATGATGGATGGCCGTAGCAGATGCTCGAGGCTTATCCAATCGATCTTATTCGAAGTTTTGGATCCATGACGCCTGAATATGAGAGCAGGAAATAACTGCATTCAGTAGGACAAAATCCATCACCACAAAAACGATAAAGCGCTCTACAGATTTAGACCGAGGTCAACACAACCCTCTCTTCAATCGAGCGCGTGCATGCACGCACGTGAAGACAAACACCTGCGACACGACACTCCGTAAAGTGAGTGGCTTCAGAGGAGGACTTGTTTAATGTGCGCAAGACGACATCCCTGCCCTCCATGGTCCTCTGGTCTGGAATCCTCCTCCTGTTTCTGTATTCACTTAATCACTTATAACCTCGAACCTTCTTCTTCATATCTTCTTCATATCATTTCAGACTCTTCTTCTTTTTCTTTGGACACGAAAAAAAGATGTCAATCAGAATGTTGGAACGACCCTTCAAACCCGACCAATGGCTTCCCCCTTGCCATGGCCCTCGCTCCTGTCCCCTGAAGCTCTGGCAGCCGTTCCAACGCGAGTGCTCTTTCCATGAGGATCATGAAGTACTTACTCGAGGTACACAAGGTTGACTCGACTCAGGGAGCAACGATGACATTTTGCCCCAGATTTCATGAGTGTCGATGAGCAGCGTGAATGAATGATCAAGTCATCCATGCAGGTTGAGAGGGAACATGGGAGAGCATGGTAAAAGTTGATACTCCAATAAAGGCGGAGGCAGAGAAGAAAGGAAGCTTGTGCCTTGTGCTCAAGAGGTTCTCCATCACTTGGCCATAAAGATTCAATGAGTGAACCTTCATGTGTAATCAAATGGTGGTACACTGGAAGCATGTTAGCATGACGGAGGGAGGTGTGACAGCGACAACTGGAGACAAAAGGACTTCGACGGTACCCAAGCTGCGTAATGTGATTGGATGCTCGGGCACAATCACACCACAAACACATGTAAACAATGTGACACAAAACAGTGATACCAACTTCGTAGTCGGTCTTCTCTTCGCCATTGAGAAAATTCAATCCAGTACAAGAGATGTCGAAACTGCGTCATTTAGGCCTTGAAGAGCTCATCGTTGCTTTGCAGAGTCACAACAGCAGGGCAGGGCAGAGTTATGCTCCAACTCATCAAGGCCAGGCCAGGCCAGCAGGTTCAGCATCTCATCAGACGACGAGGTTGAAGAGTCTACGAGACCGACCCTGGAAAGTTCGAACGCGTTTGAGTTGACGTCTGTTGCAAAAGGTTCCGTAATCGAGTGACAGGGACGCAAAGGATCTTTGTGTAGAGGCAAAGAACTTGCACTCGGCCAGATTCTGTCCATACGTCACAAGAAATCATGAAGCCAAAGGGTGTCGCTCGTACAAGAGGAAAGAATAATGCGGAAATGGCCTCGGCTGCATTTGCGAGTCCAACTATTCGCGATTAGAAATATTATTTATTATCAGAATGCGCGTGGCATGGGAATTCAAGCATCGAGAATTATGCTCGTTATCATCACTCGCACCTCGTACGAGCGCGACCTCAGCTCGGCTCAGGAGCTGGACGCAGCGGTCCAAAGCGATGAAGAGGCAAGTCCATCGAGCACACAATGATTCCGGCTGGCAAAAGTGACTCTGACTGCACAAACGCTGTCAGCCTTTGACATGGAATGAAAGTTGAGCTCATCTTGGCTCGACTCGGGAATTGCGCTCGGGCTCGGGCTCGGGCTCGCTCTCCTCGTCTCGGCCTCTAGATTCCATAGTCACAACGTTGACCTCGATCGATAGAGGGAGGGGGAGGGAGGGCGAAGGAGGGAGAGAGAGATGGATGGATCATGGTCCATGGATGGCCCCGACTGCCTGCCTGGTTGGGCTCCATCTACCTCATCCGTCTGCCATGTCATGACGTCGCCGGGGCCGACGGATGCGAGGGAGGCACATTCATGAGCGAGCACCTTTTCTGGACGAGAAAGGGCGTTGGCCCTCGGGTCTCTCCCCCACTCTGCAATTGACTAAGAATAACTTCTTGTTGCTACTGCCTTGTTGCAGATTCAAGCGTAGGGCTGCGAATGTCCTCCCGCGTGCGGCTGCGAGCGAGTGACATTCCTTGGCCTACAGCACAGGACAATTGTCGACATTGCCTGCTTTCAGGCAGCTTCAGAGTTGAGTTCAGCTCAGCACGGACTCGAGCTCGCAGTTCAGTTCAGTTCAGTTGAGGTCAGGGATGGGATGGGATGGGATGGGACTGGCACGAGATCGAGACCGAACGCGTGAGGCCTACACCTCCGCTCTGAGCTCTTCTGCCATTGGCAGGCTTCTCCATTCTTCATTCCGAATGAGAAGAAGCGGTGGCCACATTTTGCATGTGTACATTGTCCAGGACCATTTCGGGCCAAATGTCCTTGCCTCGGGCTCTGAGAGCCTCTGATCTGATGGTAGGCTCAATTCCGTATGCCATAGTCGTTGCGAGGACATCTAGTTCTCTCGACCACTGACTGCCTCAAGAGCTCAGCCTGCCTGACCTGAGCCCGAGCCTGATGTGCCGATCTCAGCACGTAGTAACCATTCCCGCAAAATGATCAGATCCAATGAATAGAAAGACGCGGACAAGAGAGAGCAAGAGCCTATTGACAACAACCGGTGGACCGGTGGAGCTCGATCGACAAGGAATATGATAATCTTTTCTCGTACAGTCTTCATTCTTGTAGCAGAAACTACCCATTGTTACTTACTGCCCAGATTTTCAGAATTGCCCACCGGCTGGGATTCCCTGGGAGCTTCCCACGAAGCAGCAAAAATATCATGGAAATGTCCGAGATGTTTATTTGCAGAACCGACGAGAGCCAAAGAGCAACAAGCGTCTGACAAAATTGAAGACCGAACAGCAAACAAATGCAAATAGTGATGTCTGTACGGAGAGGGGGAAGATATTAATGATTATTCACATTTCCAGCACCTTTATAACTGACATCAGGTTGAGGCTGTACACAATTGGAGATAGTCGTGCACTGAGGCTTAACTCTTATGCAACATCCGTCTAGCCGTGACATGCTCGGAATCTCAGGGCCTTATCCTGAGAAGCAAGCAGCAGCGGTGCGGGGCAGTTGACTGACTCGCTGGCTGCCGACCATATACCACCGCAGCAATGGTGGAAAGTGATCCCGTCTCGATGAATGTGTTGGCGCGGCGTTGTATTCCTCGTACGCATTCTTCTTCTGCGAGTGGAATTGCGGAGCCGCGTACTACGACTCTGCACAGTCACGGAACGGAATGCATTCGTCCGACGCAGTAAACAACGAAGCACCCGAGGCTGATGGAATGCAGGGCAGCTTTTGGTGCTGCTGGGCTCAAAAGACCTGTGGTGTCGTGGAGATGCTCATTTTCCAGCATTCACGGCCCTTTCCCCTCATCTCCCATGCAGATAATCCAAGCCTCGATCTCCAGCGGCGCTACTCGCAGCAGGTTGAAGCCCTGCCCACTCTCCGGGCACCATGTCCTAAAAGCATGACGAGATGTGAATATCCTCTCCTCCCATCTCCTCTGCTGTCCTGGCCGCATGAGTGCCGGCTATGGGCCCCGAGAGTGCCAGCCAGGGTGTTGGTGTCGAGGACGTCGTCACACACACCATCACCAGATGTGCATGATCCCCCACGCTGTGGCTTCGTGCTACCCTCGAGCCAAGTACTTGAAAACTTTTGCTTCTCTCTTGTGGGACTTCCGATCCTCCGATCCGATGACGACCTCGTCACGAGGAAACCAAAAGAGTCACATGGTAAAGTTTCCACTAAGCAAAGTAATGAAATATACCTTTCCCATCATACACATATTTTATTTAGATGACGATGTAATATTTACATTCTCTATCTATTATTTGATTCTACAGTGGTGGATGTTGGGAAAGGTAGAAAAAATAAATAATACATCGTCACCTCAATTAAATATATCATTGACTGCATTCTCTTTGTAGCAATAAAAACAATTAATTAAAATAAAATGTAGAATAACCTGGAGTTAACAAAATATAATCGATAACCTATATATCCATCTTGCATATTTTGTTTCTATCTTTCAAAGTTGATGTCTACCGTTAGATATAATTTCAAATGAAAAGAATTAAAATTTTATATCCAGCCAAATAGTTATACTTGAGTTCATGTTGTTACACTAGCCACCCACATTCAATGAAACACCTAATCCATAAAATTCATAAAATACTGTCGGATTCATAGGGTACTCTCGTACCAAAGTATTGACATTTTACTCCTAAAGCAAAGATAGAATGACTTTCAAGTATATCACAATTAACTCAAACGTTTTCAAGTTTTTCTTCAAGTACGAAAATTTACATTCTCACGCAGTCTCATTCCACATTAGACTATTATCTTATATAATCATCTCCTACAACTACAACGAATAGCGAAAAAATATAGTGCGTATGAAGTGCATCACATTGCACACGTGAATATTGAGATACATGTGACGCCCAAGCGAAAAAGAATTTTGGCACTGCTTGAAAGCTGTGTAGCTTATCCGCTTGGTCCCCCTCCGAGCAAAAGTGAGGAACCTAAATGATCAGGCGAGGCCTACGATCGAGCCAAATTGAATGCGTTCGTTCAGTCAATGACCTTTGTGATCTGCAACCGACAATCCTAGAAAGCGAGCTCGATTATAACAACGGGAGCCCGGCTGCAGTGCATCGCTTGCTCACACGCATCGTAGCCACAGAAGAAGTCCTGGGACTTGGTAGGGCTCCGAAACTGAATCTGACACGAACACGACAGAGACTTGATGCAGCTGATGCGATAGGGAGGAATCTGGCAAGCTAAAGCGACAGTAGAACCAGAAAATCAGATGCAGTTTACTCGCAAATCCTAAGCAAAGTGAGGCATCGAGAGCAGGACCGTGTGATGAACTCCTCGTAGGTCTGGGAGAGCCTGCACACTGATTACTCTACGACTCGTAATGGAAGTTAATCAAAGCAACGACAGTGACTGCAAGGCCTACGGAGGTCAAAGGTTCGATCGGACCCAGGATCAATATGAGCTTCATTTGTCCTACCACGTGGCAGAGGGCTCATGAATCATGTCATGATTTCGCTTACCCGCGAGTGTAGCTCAAGATAAGAGATCCCATAGCTTGCGGCAGTGGAATCCATACAGGCCTTTCTTCACATGACAATCACAAGAATCTGACTCATCATCTCCAGCATTGGAGAATCTCCGGCCTGATGCTGGCAGCAGCGGGTGGCCTCGTGGCATCCGGAATCTGGTTCCGGACTCGTCAGAGAGAAGTGTACGTCTCGTAACTGAAAGATCCCTCCGGCATCTTACTGTTCATCACAACGAATTGCTCTTGTGAACCGAACAGAATATCATCACTGACGTCACAAGCGGCCAACTCTCGTGATTCGAAACCTCCAGGACTCCGTGGGTATCATAATGTAACGTGGACCATCACAGGATGCATCGGATTTCCAAACCATGTTTAGAACCACGTCCATGCAGGTGACATGAAGTGGTTCAAAGGCCTAGCTTCCTCCAAGCAAATACTCACCATAACCTACATCGATAAAAAAATTAAACCGCACGACAGGATGCACTGCGTTTTCATGCCATGGAGCTGAGACAAAGCAACGAGCTAACAATCGTAATTCCATAAAAATTACTTTCCATCCTTTTCTCGATGCATTTGAAGCAATCGCAAAACAATTCTTTCATCGCGATGCCTTGTGTGATATTAAAAGCTCAAATACACAAGCCCAGCATAGAGATCTCCCCAATGCATGCGCGCTAAGGTAATTTTCACCAGATGCTACGACATCCGAGACATCAATTATAGGTTTTCTTAATGTCACACACCTGCTGACAACTTCAGCTGGATCACACAAACCTTTATTACTCAACAAAGAGCTTGAGATTCATGTACCTCGAGATGATAGAAGCCCATTATCCATCCACACTCACAATTTTTTTAAGGATAACGAGTGCACAAAAGCATGCCCCAACTAATGAGACACTAATTCTTTCCACCTGGAGACAGGATTCCGGGACTTCGTGCGTAGAAACCGAATAGCAGTAGCAACACTCGCATCGTCCCTAGATCCGGAGTAGCCAGAAGCTAGCCTCCAGCTAATGCAGCCGCAGACATACAAAACGTCATGAGACCGGCCCGTCGATGGCATGGAAACATGCACCAGCCTTCCGTTGCAATGGTATTTATTCCAACTGTGCACTGAAGATGCACCATGCCCGCGAACCATGAGTTGAAAGTCAAAAAAGTTGCACTCAAACTTTCGTCCCTTGCTGGAGCACTGAAAGTATTGCCCAAGCAGAGGTGCAAATGAACCTATCACCTATTACTACTATAACCTCTCTGATCCGTCTACAGCCTGCCTTTGTTTCTATGACTGCCCCCTCAGTGACCGTCTGAAATGGGGCACATACACTGGAGTAGTCAAGCCAAGGACTCGCCCTGGTTAGGCAGATGATTGGCAAAGTGAGGGGACGGTGGGGAGTTTTCTTCATTTGCTGTTGGCAAGCATAAATAAACCTTGCACTTTTCGAGGGCATCTCGCATCCACTCCACCCGGCATTGTCCGACGGCATCCGCAAGTGAAAACTGAAAAGATCCACGTTCATTGCAAAAGAATTACAACTCGTTAAAACGAATTCGTCATAGTCCTTGCGCTTTCAACTTCATGAGCAAAAAATTTAAAATCCTCTCCCACCACTCTCCGATGTTCTCGTTATGTACGTGAAGATTACAAGAAGACTTCACACTACAGAAGTCCAACCAAACCAGTAGCAACTCGAAGTAAGGTAACTGACCCATTGTCGCTGGCGGGCGTGCTGCTCAGGCCATGATTCGAGCTGCTCGTTTACCGCTAAAGCAAACATATGAGCTTTGCAAAGACCCTCGGGGCAACAATCTCCCTGTTGGCGCTTGCTCTTGAAGTCCCACTCTCCAAGCTTTTCCTGCTCAGCCGATTCAATCACGCGGTCAATAAGGTGTGCTCCAAAGAAGTTTCTTGAGCGCTCAAATCGACCAATTTCTTACAAGAAATCTGCCTACCTTACTCTGAAGTATATAGTAGAACAGAAAAGAATGCTGGGAATTCTAGGGATATTCTTGTACGCGCAACAACAGCAACTATAAAAGTAATCAGCAAGTTTGGTAAAACCTGGAGGTCGCCACGAACTCCGGCTTCTTCCAGAGCCTCCCGCAAAGCTGCTTCTTCCACTGTCTCATCGGTCTCCCAACCTCCCTGAATGCCAAAAAATTTCCTGTTTAGCTCATTCTGACGTCACAAAAGACTGCGTTGGCAGCCGAAGAATTGATCGTACAAGAAAAGTGTAGAATTCGCTAAGCAGCTGCCAGATTCTCAAGCCTCGACCAGACACAGTGTCGGAGAACAATCTCCGACGCTGCTGACAATCCTACCCAAATTTCAGAAACGATAAAGCCCACGATATGATGACATCAAATAGCAGCACCTTACCTTCGGAAAGAGCAGACCTTCGCCCCTCTGGGAAGTGATCATGAGCACCTCGATATTATGCTCTGGGTTGGCGTTGCCATTCCCATCATCTGTCGATCCGTACCTGTACGGAATACACCTGCACACAAAACAAAAAAGGTCTTCATCGCATCTGGTACGAGCACAATGTATCGGGATATATGCTTCTTTGCCGATCTCAACATGTGCCAGCTGAAAATTACACGGCAGCCCGTCGATATCAAAAAAGACAAGTTCCAATGTATAGATTCAACTATCGCGTAATTTAATGAGGGTAATTTTCATCAAAGCCCAGTTCTCGGCGGCTGGCTGCACGAGTTGTTGAATTGCCCAGCTACCATCTCTCCTAAACCAGCACACATCGCATCCGCAACAGAAGGCGCCCATTGCCGGAGACAACTTCAATTTCGGAGCGAAGAAATCGGATGGCATGAAACGAAATTCAGTAATATCCCGAATAAGTTCATCGGCTTCCATGCACCTCAATTGAGCACACCAGAGAAACGCAGTTCGTCGCCCACCCACCCAATTCATTCAAAAGGTGGTTGGAGAGACAGATGGAAGAACTCTACTGGGACCAAAAGTGATTCTGAACGGGATTCCAGTCTTGATTCCAGAGCCTGCCCTCGAATTAATAACCTCCACCGGCCAACGCGCTGCTCTAACAAGCAGGTAACATGTAGAAAGACAGTGGACAAGAGCGAACACTCTAAACGTCGCCCGTCCAGACACTGGCGAGGTCTGAATGCCTTGGATCGTACGACCCCCAGACACGGCCTGGAAACATCGAGCTGCAATTATAAAGAACCGAATGTGTGTGCCCCGGCACTCTGCTTCTCATGATTGCACAGAAACAGGCCAAGAATCTGAAATGATGCTGAGGAGCAACGACGGATGGTGCTGGGAACCAACGGCGAAAGCGACTGAGCACGCCTGATTGGACGTGGGCTAATCTTTCGAGGGAAAAGAAGTGCCTACATTCTTGAGTTTGAGTGCGCAAATGAACGAGGAAAGATATTTACCCGGCCACGAGACGGTAGCCCTGGTCGTAGCGCTGCTGATGACGTCCTGTGCGAGCCACTAGAGCTGTCATTGTGCTCGGCCTTTGAATCTTGTCAGCCCTGCGCCTAAAATAATCTCGGCGACTTACGATAACTGCAACATGTTTCGCTGGTTCAACTTCCTGGAGAATGGGAGGTCAAACTTCGAGAACACACCTACACGCCCTGTAAATTGCCTCTCTGCAAACGACAGCGCAAAGCACAATGCTCATAGGACTCCCCAATGCCGCAGAAGGAGAGAAACCTCTACGATCTATCGCCGACGACATGCGACCGTGACTCAGCATTACCGCCACCGCCGCTGATCAACGCATCCCGGCCTCCTCCTGCTCCTCCTCTGCCTTCTTCCCTCCGCTCGCAACAAAACTGAATAAAAAAGGGAACAAGTGTCTCGCCTTCAGCGCCTCCTCGTCCTTCGTCACCTCCTGCTATTGCAAGAACTACGTCCTTCGTCCGTCCCGCTCCCCTGCCTCCGCTGTACGAGGTCGAGGCTCCATCAACTGCTCAACCTCATCAACTCTTGTGCACTCTGCTCTCCGCGCCCAATCTGCGCTCGCCCGCCGATCCGCTCGAAGCGACTCTTAAATCATGAGATTGAACTTCGCCCCTCTTCTCGCGCGCACGCTCCGCCCGGATTATTGCACGAGTCCTCCTCCGCGAATCCAACTCGCCGATTGATAGACCTAAAACTCTCCCTCCGCTCCGAGCAACGAGGCCAGCACTGTCACCCCTCTCTGCCCCTCAGAGTGCCTCGACCGCTGCTGCTGCTGCTGCTCGTGCCTCGTGCCTCACCCGCTTCTCCAGACGTCTCTGCTCTTCCTTCTTCTCCTCCTTCTTCCTCTCTCTTTCTCCTCCTCTGTGTGTCTCCTCTCTGCGACTGTGTTGTTGCGCAAGAGAGTGTGCCTTCCTCTTCTTCGTCGCACAGAGAGAGACAGAGACAGAGAGAGAGAGCGCGTTCGAAGAATGCGACTCGTTCCACTCCCTCCGACTCTCCTCTCCGAGGACGAATAAAAAATTGCAACACCCGCAGACTCGGACACCGGGCCACGCGACGGAGGCGAGCAAGGCCACAAATGAATGCGCTCTGTCAATCCTCGTGGGGCAAGACGTGCAATGGAGAATTTGCAAGTATCGGCTCTCGCCTCCTCGTCCACTCTGCTGCTGCTGCTTCTCCTGCTGCTGCTGCTGCGGCGGCAGAGAGACAGGGCACTCTGAGATTTAACAGGACCAAGCCCTGGCCACCTTCCTTCCTTCCTTCCTTCTTCAGGGAGCGCAGCCCAGTGTTGTACCCACCACCTCCACCAGCACTAGCGCCAGCACCCACCCCGAGCTCCAAATACCGGCTAGCGCAGCGGAAATAGCTCTCTCTCGCAAACGCCCGAGCCCCGCCAGCCAGCCAACGAAGCCCTCTCGGAGCATCAGCAGGGGCCACAGCGAAAAGAGCAGCGCGGCCGAGCGAGCGAGCGACGACGATGCGACCGAGAGAAAGTAAATGGGACTGACTCTGGCCTTCACTCACTGGCTAGCTAGCTAGCTACCTGCCCCCCCCTCCCCTCCCCTCCCCTCCCCCCATCCATCATGTCACCATGCATGCATATGACCCCATACACCTCTGTATGTCGCCCCGTCGCCATCAATGTATTGTACCGTGGCGCATGCACACGCCTGAAAGCTCCGATTAACTGACCCCTCATCGCTCATTGCCGAACCCTAACCTCGCTTCTTGACCCAGAGTCTGACTCGTACCCATTGTACCGCGCGACCTAACCCACAGTAAGTAAGTCAGTCAGTCAGTCATTCCTACTGCCCTCGCGGTCGTCTCGTTCTCATTCTCCTCGTCCGTTTTCACGTGGTACGCTCGCAAGAATACGTACGGCCCAACCGCGCGCCGACCTTTCCGAATGTACCAGGTTGCCCCTGCTTTGATTAGGCCGATGGACGGGTCTTTCTTCCTATTATGGAACTGACAGCTGCGGGACGGCGCAGCGATGGGTGACATTCCGCCGCGAGTCTCCACGACGAAATCGAAATCGCGTGACGCTTCTCGGAGGCCATTTCTTTCGGGCTCGACGAACTCGAAAGTCAAACGAAGCTCCGTCGGGACGTCGTTGCGGATTTATGTTCGCCGTTCGAGCAGTCAGTCGTCTCAACCACCGTTGTTGACTGAATGTTCGGGCATGTTGTACGACGTCGCCCAGAGATGTGCCTTCTATGGTGGGGAAGCATGACCACGGGACTTTCTGTCTATCACGTGAAAATTGGAAGTCGCCCGCAGCGGACATCATAACTCTGGACATCTCTCTCGACACATCCCCTCGTCGATCGTTCAACCGTTTGCTTTGACTTTGTTCCCCCTTTTAATGTCGGGAGATTGTACCCTTCCTCGGAATGTTTCTCCATCCAAAAATCGAGTTTGTATGCCTTTCGGTAGACATAAATCAATCAACCACCAATCGGACCAAGTTCGAGCAGGATGCGAAAGGATTGAAGCGGACATGTTGAATGACCATCTGCAGTCACGACCTGGATTGATCTAATCAAATTCGCAAAAATAACTGCACTTACAAGGCGGAGAACAGGTCTCTACGGTTATGTGTGAAACGAAGAGAGTCAGAGAGAAAGAGGATTCAAAAAATGAGATTAAAACTTTCCCTTGCATGGAAGTATGACAAGATGGAGAAAACCATTATGATATTTTCTTTCGCCTGCATGGTGATATGACAAGATAGATGCATGCATTGATGTATAAAGTGCTAGATGTCTCTTGCAAATTAGTTAGGTCAAGATATAGAATCACGCACTCTACAGATTTTAGACATGAGGAAAAGGTGGATTTTGGACTTTCAGATACTTCAAGTGTCTCTATCAATAAACCTACTAAAATATTATCATATCATTACAAACAATGACTTTGCAACTGCTTTCAAGACATCTTATCTTCAAAGCCAAGTACATATAACATAAAAGTACTAAATGTGAGTGTTATATTTCCTTGATTCACATCTTCAATAAATAAACAAATTAGTACAAGCTTCAGCTTTCATATCGAAACTGAAAGAAGTATCACATGGTTTTCACTCTTGCTTTGATTGTTCAAAATTACTTAATCTTCAACCCCATATTAGATTTGGAGAGTTTTTGGCATGCTACCTAGAAAAAGTCAACGATGAAGCTCTGAATAAAACCTTTGACAATAGGACTCAAACCTGAATACCGCACAAGGAAAGCCTAACACTCGTCATAATTCAAAAGCATGGACGGTTGGCCACAAGTTGAATTTGACCAAATATATAGATATATTTTATACGTATACTTCTCCTTTAGCATGAGGTTTTAGAGTCATGTTTTTGGTTTGACAAACAAACCCAAGCACGTACTTTACAAATACTATTTGATGATGTGTAGATGTGAAAATTTAGTTCTTCTTCCAAATGACCACATGTTTTGCTTACTTTCATTTCATCAAGAAAAGGCTTCGATGAAAAAATTAGAAGCAATCATCTGAAGCCATTTATAGAAAGATTTCATCATAGGGAATTGAAATTATTAACACAAAATTTGTTGTTAAGTATATGAAAAGTAGACAAGATGATTTTGGAGCCTTGTCCGCTGGATTATGAATGAACAATGAAAGTTAACTTGATTTACTACAAAAAGTTAAATGCTTTTTTTGAATATTATATATAAAATTGGTATAGAAATTATTTTGTTAATTTATGCGTTTTTAGAATATAAATTAATGTATGTACAAAATCAAAACATTGAAATTGAACCATCTTTATTTCAAAATTTAGCAAATAAAGCAAAATTAAAAATTTTAATTCAAATATTACCTACAACTTCAACTAAAGTTTACTTTATAATTGATTAGTAATATAATAGTTTTAGTTTGATTTGTGCAATGCATATGAACGAAACTCACAAATATTACTCAAATAAAAAATTTAATATAATTGAAAATTCAAAATAAGCCTTAATTTATGGAAAAATGATACATATTTAATTTCAAAATAAAGACACATGCACTAAATATATTTTAGCAATAAAAATAGTTTTAAATATATAAATAGATCATTTTATACCAGGATATTTCAAATTTTCATGTTTTATATTTGATTGGGTTAAAAAAATCTAAAGCACTACAAAATAAATTTATTTTGTTAATTTAAAAATTTAAAAAGTATTTAATTTCAAAAGAAAGATCAAACCTATAAATTTGAAATAAAAGGTCAACAACTATGTAAATGTCAACATAAATTTGAAACTAAATATAAAATCATACTCATAGTCTATTGAAAATTTTTGTTATAAGGAAAAAATTCACACCAAATTATAAGAAACTAAAGATACATTCTTGTAATATTATGAAGATTATATATAATATCATTCTTATTAGTAATAACCGAAGTGGATTTTACTCAAAATGGAAATAGAATTGATTTATACTAGACAACAAATAGTTTTCATGTTAACGGTAAGTGTGCATGGTAGATTAAAAAATTAATGTATGAGTTGTTATCCACAAGTAAGTAATCCGTGCACTTGCTAAGTAAATAATAAATGTACTACTTAATACGACACATCAGTTGTTTGTTATCTAAATATTAGAATGTTAGTTGAAGATATGTAACTAAATTATGTGCTATTTTGATATATTTGTCATGTCATCAATCTACTATAAGTGAAATGGATGATGATATTGGTATTTTATCTACTTTTAAATGTTAGAAAAATATATATAAAGAATAGTAAATCCATCATAGATATTTATACTCTTCATAGTTTGTGCTCCATCTTCAAGTGAGTTTTACTCTTCATCTATAGTTTTACAATGATATGATAGCTAATTTGCTATTGTTTTGAAGTAACAAGTAAGTGACAAGCTATCTTAGTTTTTGAAAAGATTAAGAGGTTGACATAGATACTTTATGTAAAAAGGTAACAAAAGAAAACAACTTGTGCTTTTACAAATACAAAAATGTCTAATAGGATTAAAACTATCACAACTATCAATACCATATGTTACTCATTCATCTTTGTTTCATGAAAAAAGTATAATTTTGTTATATATTGTGACACAATGAGATTCAATTTTTATGATTTGATTGATGGAAAAAAATGTGTTACTTATGCTTTAGATTGTGATTTACAAAGAAAATGAGATTATATTGTTTATTGTATATATTAAATGTTCAAATACTATTTTTTTGGAGATTTATTAACTAGTGTTTGATACAATACGCATGTAAAAGATAAACACAATTAATCTATAGAGAAGCACGTGAAAAAAAAATTTGATGATAGATTAAAATTAAATTTTGTTAAAAAAACATTATGAAATTTGTATCTTCTATGATTTATACTTTGGAAGGTTTAATCATTTAAAAACTTATTAGAGTAAATAAGAAAAAATATTCCGACATCAATTGATGTAAATGAAATTTTAAATGCAATGATTACTAAGATGAGTGATTTAAAACACAATACTATATATACACACAAAACAATTGTAACAATTGGACGTAGAGAATAGTTCACTTGAAAATGAAACATAAAATCTCAAGATGACATATACCTTGAATGGTTTCACTTGTTTCTATATAGATACTTCAAATAGAAACAATGAGATAAGTTTTTTTATATCATAATCCAATTCAACTCTAGGGTATTGGTGACATGACGGATTTATCTAATGAGCTAATATGTTTCTTCCAACAAACAAACAAATTCAATCATCACCTAACAAGCACACTTGATTACATGTGGTTCTCAATTAACACATTAACTAACACAATAATTGCTATTGTGACATTGTAAATATTCAAATAGTATCTATTATATTAAAATTTAAATATTTTCTGCTTTAATTTTAAACTTTAATTTTTCAATAACTAAAGATAGTTACACCAACAAGTCATAAAAGATAAATTTTATTAACTAGAAAATAATAAGATAGATACAAAATAAATTGAAAATATGAAAATCAAAACTTCAATATATGATTGTCAAGCTCAATTTAAACCAAAATTTATCATTACTATGGAATCACATAGTATATAAATTTTTTTAATTGATGATATTGACTTTTGACTTAGCAAAAAAATCAAATAAGTTACAAATATACAAATTAAATGAAAAAATGAAGTTTTATAAGACAGTATCATGATTTTTTAAATCTTTTTACATCAAAAATTGTAAAATTGTAGAAATTAAAACTAAAAAATATATACGCATGTATATTAAAGATTTTTGTTCTTTAATATATATAGTATAACAAATTTTCAAGGCATGTTCAAACAAGAAAAATAATATTGACCATGTAAATAAATGATTGTGAACAATTCATCAAAGTTAAATAAAATAATCACAATTGTTAAACAAATTTTATACAACTATGAAATCACACATGATCAATCATCCAACACTAATTTACATTCACATGGCATAAAATAAAAAAAATTAAAGAAAA